ATTCCAAATAATCAAAACAAACAAACCAGATAAAATTTCATTTAAAAAAAATTACAGATCTGGAACCATACAATAAAATCTAACCACCATACCTTTGATTCATAGCAGAAATCTATATTTACTTACCAAAAAACCTTGTTTCGATAGTGATTTCATCCTCCAACTACTTGTTTCGATAGTGATTTCGATAGTGATAGTCATATCCTACATTTCATCCTCCAACTACTTGGAGTTATCTAGCACAATCATTGATACAAGCATGGAAATCAAATAACAAAATACACTCTTCCACATAGACACAAGCACAAGAATGCATCTATTGTTATATTTTATCCATTGTTCAGAATAGGGGGGAGGTTGGGTGTAAAAGTTAATAGACGTCACCTGAAAATTCTGGAGTTACTAAAGACCACAAGGATGAACACATTACCATCTTATTAGTGTTTAATACACCGATAGTCCCTGGAAGTACCACTGTTAATCCTTGAATTTCAATTTGTCAATTTCATCCCTGAGCATTGGAATTAGTTTTTGAAAGGTCAAATGGGTAGAGCTTTCAAAAAGTGAAAGTTAACCTAGTGAGTTGACCTCATATCCCTATAATGAGTTTCCGTTTTTAGAATTGCTCTGTAATAATTGAATTAGTAAGTAGAAAAAAAACAATTACTGCATTCACATTGGAGTTACGTTGAGGGTGCTTATATATCCTGCAAGCTCTTACGACTGAATAATTTATTGCACATGTATAGTTTTACTTTCCCCTCTTAGGGGGTTTGTGAATGGAAATTTGCAATCAAAGAAAAAGATGACAACAATAATTACCTCAGCTGCTTTCACAAGGGTGAGTGCAACACCAGGAGCACCATGGCACCAATGCACAAGACGGTCCGAATCACTTCCTTCACTTGAAGGATAGTTTCCCCTGGAAACCGATTTTTAATAATGTAACTTAGGGTGCCCTTGACATCCTCCAGTTCATCTGGTTTCAGGTCCATGCCCATTAAAACATACATAATCCCAGCTAGCCCATGGGCAGCTCCCCAGTACTTTTTCCCATGCAATTCATACATCATTGGACATCTTCCTTTAGCTAATTGTCGACAAGACTTTATGATGTCATCAACAACAGACCTCTGCATAATTTTTAATCCAATCAACCTATGCCTATCTTAAGCTTGCATGACGAAGCCAAAAAGACACAGTAGAAAATGACTTACCATTCGTGTGATAGATATTGCATCTTTGCCAATATTGTTGTTTAAGAAAGAATATGCCCACAAGAACCCCGCTCTCCCGTACAACAATTCATTTGGAAGATTCTTCTGAAGCTTGATCTTCATTTAAATTTGAAAAATAGCAAATCAGCATGCTTATTCAAACAAAAATGAATTTATGCTCAGTGAAAGAGCAACAGTGGTGATGGGGGAATGGAAGCAAATAGTGTTGTTGCATTATTAAGTACCTCTTTGAATTGGGTTAAATATTGGTCACACAATTGTTCATCAGCAGCATGCTTTGCAACTACAGCACCAAGTGCGCATACACCTGCTTCCCCACATATGAAAGTCACACTCCTGCAATTCCAAAAACAGAAGTTTAACAACATTGAGCCACTGATCTAAGAAGGAAGGTTTGCAATGTTTGACATAAAAAATGGGTGCTGCTGCGTACAACACCCTCACTGGACTCGAAGCTCCATAAGCTGTTCCTTTTACAATGATTCTCAAAGTAAACAGAAAAAAACCCTTCCTTTTGTTCGGAACTGGTAAGATCACAGAACTGAAAACCAAAATTGTTGTTTTAAGCAATGATAATAAATTGTGCATCCAAGAAACGGATAACCCAAATCTTGAACAAGTAATTTCTTATTCAAGACACCCCTTCACAAATTCTGAGATTTCAATAATTTTTATGAAATAAAAAAAAAACCAAATCACCGTTAATACAAGCATGACAACGATGATAAAATCGAGCAGCACAAAATATAAAATTAAAAAAATGAAGACGACAAATTTACAACAAAACTTGCCTGATATTTACTGTAAAAACACAGTGGAAGAGAACGAAAACTCTCTAGAGCTTCAGGGCAAAAGGGCGTGCTTGAGGCGGATCTTCCCTTCACTTGGCAAAATTAACATTAACCCAATATGTGGTTAATATATTTAAGAACCAATTTTACAGTAAAAATTACCGGGATTTAAAATCTTCAAGGACCTCAATTAAATAAACCTTATAAAGCAAAATGAAAGAGAACCCAGAACATCCAGAGGAAGAGAAAATATAAAACAGTTTTTGTATACACAAAGAAAATAATAAATACCTTCGGCGGAATCAACTGGGTCGCTAGCTTTTGTTAGCAAAGGAAGATGAAAAGCGGCTGTTGGCTTGAATTTAATACCTGTGGAATCTCATGGGTTGTCGGGCAAGGATGTAAAATTCCTGCACTGCAGTAGGTTTTGCAGGCGCCTCAGATGGTTCAGAGGGCAAAACAGAGGGTTGCAGGTGTAATTACCGCTATTTTTTGGATAATTTCAAACTTGACCTCGAATAGGTCTTCGGCTTTAATATGGGCCCATTGGATGTCTTCGAAAGACGGAAAAGTGTCCTTCTCAAAATTCAAAAGGCGATGACGAATCGAGAGAGTTGAATCCCCTCCTATAACTTGATCCGGTTTAGGGAATCGACATGGAGAAAGTCATAGGTTTTCTGACCAAGAAATAGAGGAATAGGTGTGGTATATTTTGAAGCTAAATGGAGGAAAATTTGGAAAAATAATCGGCTTTATGCACTGATCTTAGTCTTTTGTGGGATTTCACAGATATGGAGAGTTGGAAAAGGCAAAGGAATTTGGTCGGTTCCGATAAGCTAAAAACCGATATATGGGATTTCGAGTGCGGTTGGAGAAGGCAAGAGGATTGCTAGGGTTTCGACAATATACAAAGTGAGTGGTAGACAGCAAATTTCCATATTGAATGCTTCATACGAAACGACGTCGTTTTGGGAAACATCATGAGGATTCAACACGTGGCAAAAATAAGTGCCTCTTTTATGTAGTTAGGATTAGG